GGAAATGTTGGCCTGGTGCCTTGCTTGCTGAATTCCCAGCAGCCTCAACAGGTAGGTAAAGACGGCCACTTCCTGGCAGGTGCAGGAAACTCAGGATATCTTGGGGACCTCACAAAGAGGAATTTGCCCAATTCTACAGGTATTGCAGGCCTGTTTGATGGCAAGTATTTGGCTTGGCTCCTGGCCTGGATAGGCTACTAAAAATTCAACCCAGAGATTGGTTATAAAAAGCTCCAACGAAGAAAATTTACAAGATCCTCATGACCAATCGCTATTCTTGCTGAGCTTATGTAAATAATTAGGTCAGATTTGTTAAGACTGGATTTGTTCTACAGATGCATTTGTCTCTATTTAGCTATCTCTGGAAAGGGAGGGGGGGGGTGTGTGTCTTTAGAGAACAACTGTTTCAACAATGCACTGTTAAGAATGTTAAATTCTAGTCATGATCACCTTTAAATGTTTGGTTTTTTGCCTAAACAACTTGAGGTAAACATCAGAAAATTGTCAAACTATTTCATGTATAGGAAATTTTCTGTGCTTGTTATTCTATGGGGATAAAAATAACACCCCATAGGCATATGATTATTTACACAACTGGAAAACAGGATGGATCCCTAAATATGCAAATCATATCTTCCCTAAACCTGATCTGACAGTTACCAGAAATCCACCCTTTCCAAAACTTGGAGATAGACTTTACAGACATACAACCAAATAGAGGATTGAGTTTCAGGTATCACCCCCCATGGGTCCATCACTCCAGAGCTAAGAAGGACAACTCAGAAGAACCCACAACCTGGCGAAGTGATCCAGATCCAGTCAACCCACTAAAACTGACCCTCAAAAGGGAAACTGGCCCTTGAGACCTCCAGCCCTGCTCCAGCCACACCCCAGAAGCTGGCTGGCCTGTGCATGGCAGAAGCTTGAGGAATCAATGCGTGAACCTAGCCCGGGGGTTTGGATGCAACTCTGCCAGCCCTTGCCCCTTACCGGTGTCATAGCCCTGATCTTACTTCTTACCATTGGGCTGATAGAGACTGCACCAACAAGCTGGACATGGGACAAAAAGATGCATTCTGGGCCTTGCATACCTCCTCTGGATGGGAGGATTAGTAAGTATTGCCTGTATGCTAGGATAACCTCTCTCACCCTCACAACTGCCACTTACCCACTTTGCCCCCAGGATTGTTATATGACAATAAGGGGGGCAAGGGCATCCAGCGCCTTCACCTGCCTCCACAAAGATCACTACAGGGGAAAAACACGCACTGTCAGTCGCCCGGTGTCCCAAGGACTAAGTATTGGATCATAGAGATAACCCGAAATGTCAGGAACCCATGTCACAACAAGGGCCTCTGGAGAGGGAAGTGAGCTTGCTACACTTACCTTCCTCAATGGGGGAATCTCAGATGGGGGAGGGGTTCAAGACAGGGCCCTTCAAACAGTTATAAAGGATAGGGGAATGCAAGCCATAAAGGCGGCCACTCTCCTGGCAGCCTACCAAGGTGTGAACTTTTCAGCCCTCAGTCAGATGCTTACCAATTCCCCACTCCAGCGTTAGGCCAACACTACTCTACAAGTCCTCCATAAAATAGATAATCACATACAAATCTGCTGGATGTGCTTGCCCCCTCAGCTGGAGGGCTTAACTTAGCCACTCCCATCCCTTTGACCTGGGAAGCTCCTGAAAATCTCAAAACCAACACCTCTGTCTTAATTGGACCCTGGTCACTGGCATCTATTTCAAATGCCGACAATCTAATCTGTACAGTCCCTGAAGGTATGAATGGTACCTCTCTATGTGGGAGAAATATAACCTTAAAGAGAAATGCAACCCTATGTTCAACCCCTGGGGTGGTCCATCTGTGTTCTAAATCGGCCTACTGATGCCTAGAGCCCAACTGGACTCAGCTTTGTTATTCCGTCTTCCCAACCCCAGAAGTATCTGTATACACTGAAGATCAGCTCTTAACAGCCTGTAACCCCAAGTACTGGGCTAAATGGGCAGTCCTGCTACCCATTTTGATAGGCACAGGAATTGTGACAGGAATAGGAACTGGAAGAGGGGGCATAGGTTCATACATAGGACTATACCATAGACTATCTGAAGAGCTAAGTGAAGACATCGAATGGGTGGCAGAGTCTCTGGTAACCTTACAGAGCCAAATAAACTCTCTGGTGGCACTGACCCTCCAAAACAGGCGAGCCCTTGACCTCCTTACTTCAGAAAAAGGAGGGACTTGCATCTTTCCGGGGGAGGGATGTTGCTATCACGTAAACCAGTCAGGAATAGTTACAACAAAGGTTAAGGAGCTCAAGGAAAGAATTCAACATAGGCCACAGGAAACTATCAATCAATGGAAAGGATGGGACCTCACGGATTGGGCATCCTGGCTTCCTGCCCTGGTGGGGCCCCTCCTCTCCATAATTTTACTTGGATCCATTGGCCCCTGTATACTGAATGCTGTGGTACATTTTACTGAAAACACTGTTGCTCGCCAAACGACTGCACGTATCTTAGTCTTCCGAGAGCACCAACCTGTAAAACTGAAAGATGATGCCTACTAAAAGTTTTTTAAAGGGCACCAAAGGGGGGAATGTTGGACAAGTGAATAAAGTATGCCAAAGATGGCCGACGGAGCTAAAACAGACTCCGGTCTCTAGCTTCGAGACCCCCTCCTCTTGGTTCTTCTTCCTTTGTTTGCTGTGTGCGCCAAAACCCCCACCCACAGATATGGAAGCTGACAACTATAAATTACCCTCCCCACTTGCATTCGGTGCTCAGATCTTTGGAGAGACAGTCTCCTCTGAACCCGCTGGTGTTAAATAAATCTCCAATGCACCAAGATCTCCGAGTGCCGCTTGGTTTTTCTGCCAGTGTTCCAGCCTGGTTCCGTAACACACTTGGTTCCCTGATCAGGAAACCCAACCACGCTGGCCCATTGTTGCCACCTGTTTGGGAGAACGGCGAGGCGGTGACAAAGCGAGGGATTGCAAGGGAGAAGGTGTGCCCTGCCTGGATTTCGGCAGTCTCCTTCTCAGTTGCCTCGGGCTGGCCCCGCTCCCTTGTTCCCGCTGGACTCGAAGGCAACTGGTAGGTGAGGACATGGACCCAACATCGGAACCAGTAAGGCTGGGGCCCCAAAGAAGTCAGGCCCACCCAAGTGCCTGGAAGAGGGACGTGATCAATCTCCGGAGGCCTTAATAGGTCTCACAGGTAGAAAATTTTGTGGGAGGCAATGTAATAGACTCTGGTGTGTGTGTGTGTGTGTGTGTGTGTGTGTGTGTGTGTGTGTGTGTGAGAGAGAGAGAGAGAGAGACAGAGAGAGAGAGAGACAGAGAGACAGAGAGACAGAGAAGGAGAATGAGTGGCTTGGCCAGCCTTGCCAGCCGAGTTCGAGTTTGTGGCTCCATGGACAGGCACCCTTAAGGTCCCCAAAAGTCTACGGAGTCTGAATGGGCTCTCCTGTGTCGTGGTGAGAGTATAAGGTCTGGGGCAGTATTGGATCAGATTCTGATCACAAGTCACAAAGCTGAGTCCGCTACAGCCAAACCTCACCTAACGTTTCCCTCAGGAACATGACCAGAGGAGTATCTGATTGGCCCTCTCATCTGAAGGTAATCTCATTTGTCTGTGTTTGTGACACTGAACACGAGATAGGAATTAATAATGGGATCAAAACAGAGTAAGCCTCTGCTTTTAGAGGTCATGCTCAAAAATTTTAAAAAGGGATTTTCAGGTGATTATGGGGTGAAAATGACACCCAGGAAGTTAAGGACCTTTTGTGAACTAGAATGGCCCATATTCAATGTAGGATGGCCCCCAGAAGGGACATTAGATGCTCAAATGGTGCAGTGGGTCGGGCTAATAGTCACTGGGAACCCAGGCCACTCTGATCAGTTTCCATACATCGATTCCTTGGCTTGAAATTGCCCCAAACCCCCCGCCTTGGGTGCGATTCATCGTTAGCAAACAGAACCAGGCACAGGTTTTAGCCACTTTATCCGGAGGCTCACCCAGGGAGCCAATGAAGCAACCTGCCACTCCTCTAAGATTCAAAGGAGACACAAAGGAAGATATTGTCTTTCCACCTCCTTATGACTCATCAAGCTCCCTCCCTGCTCCCCCTGAGCCTGAAACTCCTCCCGCATCTGTCTTTCCACTGAGGTCACTGGCTGCTCTCGCTGCTGCTGCCAAAGTCGCCGCCAAGCAATGGGCGCCACCGCTGCTGCCGCTGCCGCTGCCGCCACCACAGTCGGCGCCACCCATCTCCCTGCCCCTCTCACACCCGGAGAATCCTCCCCAACAGGGGCCAGCAGCCAAACTCTGCCCCAGACCCAGACCTAATGCTCTCCAAATGCCTGTAAGGGAGATGAGAGAGCCTGAAAGACAGAATGAGGACGGAACCATCCAGCCCAGCCATTCCATGATGTATTATCAACCTTTCTCTACAACCGACATCCTCAATTGGAAACACAACACTCCATCATACTCTGAAAAGCCTCAAGCAATGGCTGACTTGGAGTCCCTCTTCCAGACCCGTCAACGGACTTGGGAATATTGTCACAGTTACTCCGTACTCTGTTTAATACAGAAGAAAGAAGAAAGAAGAAGAAAGAAGAAGGAGGACGAGGAGGAAGAGGAGGAAGAGGAGGAGGAGGAGGAGGAGGAGGGAAACACAACACTACCTAGAAGATCACGCACCGCCAGGGATCAATGACCCTGCTGTCTGGGCTCAAGCTGCCATGCGTGAAGAACACCCAACATGGGATTTTACCACAGAAGAGGGACAGGTTCACATCTGATGATACCAGGAAGCCCTCCTTCGGGGAGTCCTAGTTGGAGCCAAAAAGCCCATGAACATGACTCAAACATCAAACCCAGTCACACAGCACCCTGGGGAGTCTCCCAGAGACTACTATGAAAGATTATGTAAAGCATGCCATGTATACACCCCATTTGACCCCAAGGCACCAGAAAGTCAACAGCTGGTAAATACCTCCTTTGGGGCACAGGCTTCCCCAGATATCAGAAGAAAACTCCAGAAGTTGGAGGGCTTTGCCGGGATGAATATCACTCAGTTGATAGAGGTCACCAATAAGGTTTTCATGAACAGAGAAGTCACAGCTGAAAGAGAAGCAGAGAGAAGACTAAGAAGCCACCCTTCTCGCAGCAGAACGAAAAGGAACAGACGCTGCGAAGGTGGGAAGACCCCAACCACCAAAAGGGCGGAAGCCCAGAGCCCCCTTAGCAAGGGACCAATGTGTATACTGCAAAGACAAGGGACACTAGGAGAATGAATGTCCGAATCAGAAGGGACCCTCAAAACCCAGCCAATATTGGGAGGAACCTCGAGGTGAGAACCTCGTTGGTCTGGCCAGGGTAGATTCGGACTGAGGGGGCCGGGCTCTTTCTCTCTTGGCCCCCATGAGCCCACGGTCGAAATGAAGGTAGGGGGCTGAACAATAACTTTCATGGTTGACCCTGGGGCTGAACACTCCGTTGTTACTTCCCCTGTGGCACTCTTAAGCCAAAAGGCAGCAGCCATACTTGGGGCTACTGGGACACGGGTGATACAGCAGCTCTTCTGTCAAGCTCGACAATGTGGACTTGGGGGGTCACAAGGTCTGGCATGAGTTACTCTACTTACCTGACTGCTCAAGTCCTCTCCTGGGCCAGGATCTGCTCTCCACACTTGGGGCCCGGATGACTTTTGAACCCACTGGATGCACTCACCTCCAATTAAACCCAAGGCAGAAGGAAACCCTGGTCTTGGCGATTACCCTGCCAAGTGAAGAAGAATGGAGACTATTCTAAAACCCAGGCCTTATTCTGTAACCCCTCAGAATTCAGGCTCACATTCCCCTCCGTATGGGTTGAAGATAACCCACCTGGACTAGCTTGGAATCGGGCCCCCATCATTGGTGACCTGATCCCTGGAGCCCAACCTCAGAGACAAAGGCAGTACCCCCTCCCACTCAAGACTAGAATGGGTTATACAAGAGCACCTGACCAAGCTCAGAGAAGCAGGTATTTGAATTGAGTGCCAGTTGGCTTGGAATACCCTGCTCTTGCCAGTCAAGAAGCCAGGAGGAGGAGACCGACCAGTACAGGATCTGAGGGCCATTAACAAAGTGACTGTTTCCTTACACCCAGTGGTTCCGAACCCATATACTCTCCTCAGCCAAATTCCGGGGTCAGCCACATGGTTTACATGCCTCGACCTGAAGGATGCTTTCTTCTGCCTCCACCTGGCTCCTCAAAGTCAACCATTGTTTGCCTTTCAGTGGAATGAGCCCGTTACAGGGTGCCAGATGCAGCTGACCTGGATAGACACAACTTCCCCAAGGTTTCAAGAACTCGCCCACTCTTTTTGGGGAAGCACTAGCTGCAGACCTCGCCAACGTTCTGAGGGAAACCACAGGGTGTGTCCTCCTCCAATACGTAGACCACCTCCTCCTTGCCAGCAACACTCAAGACAACTGTATGAAAGGTACCAAGGCCCTCCTGCAGCTCCTATCCTACTTGGGGTACTGGGCCTCTTGGAAAAAGGCACAGATTTGTCAGCAGCAGGTCTGCTACTTAGGCTTCCTCCTCACAAAAGGAAAAAGAGAACTGGGACTGGAAAGGAAGGACGTTATCACCACACCGCCACAGCCCCAAACAAAACTAGGCTTGCATGAATTTTTAGGGGCCGCGGGGTTCTGTCGCATTTGGATCCCTGCATCCTCAGCCATAGCGAGGCCCCTCTATGACCTGTTGGGAGGGCTAGACCGGGAGCCCCTTGCATGGACTGAGGAAGCAAGGACCACTTTCACAGAAATAAAGTTGGCTCTGGGATGAGCCCCAGCCCTGAGTTTGCCTGACACAGAAAGGCCCTTTATCCTCTTCGTGCATGAAAAGGAATAAACATCCCTTGGAGTGCTCACTCAGGGCATGGGGCCTTGGCAATGGCCAGTAGCCTACCTGTCAAAAAAACTTGATCCCATGGCTGCAGGATGGCCACCGTGCCTCAGAGCGCTGGCAGCCACAGTCCTGCTCATCAAGGAGGCAGACAAACTCACACTGGGACAAACACTTAATGTTAAGGTTCCACACGCGGTCGTGTCCCTCACAAGCACTCAAGGATATCGTTTCCTCTCTAATTCTCAGCTGACACAATACCAAGGCCTTCTCTATGAAAACCCAGGGGTCACTCTTGAAACAGTAAGAACATCAACCTGGCCACCTTCCTTCCCACGGAGGAGAGAGAACCCGACCATGACTGTTCCAAAGTAGTGGATGAAGTCTACACCAGCCGCTCGGACCTCCAAGACCAGGTTATAACAAGCCCAGAGATCACCTGTTCAGCGATGGGAGCAGCTATTTACAAGAGGGCAGCCGAAGAGCAGGATATGCGGTAACCACAACCACCGACGTTCTGGAAGCCAAGGCCTTGCCGGAAGGATGGTCAGCACAACAAGCTGAACTGTACACCTTAACCTGGTTCCTCATCCTTAGCAAAGGTAAACAAGTTAACATCTACACTGATTTCCATGAAGCTGATGCCTTCGCTACTGTGCAGGTGCATGGGGCCGGCTATAAGGAAAGAGGCCTCCTTACCGCTGCAGGGAAAATGATCCAAAGCAAGGAAGAAATACTAAAGCTTCTTGAGGCCACTCGGCTGCCAGACAAGGTAGCCATCCTACACCATAAGGGACATCAGAAAGGAGACAACCCCATAACTCAAGGAAGTCACCCAGCTGACAAAACAGCCTGAGCAGCCACCTGTTGGTGACCCTGGTGAAGCTCTTGCCTACACTATGACTCTTGCACCCCAGAGGGAAGCCTCCCCTCCCCTGTATACCAAAGAAGAAATAAGTTGGGCCTCGACAGAAGGGGGCACACTAAGCAAAGACAGATGGTGGGTCATGCCAAATGGACACATCTTTGTCCCCTTTGTTTTCTGTGGGAAATCACCTAGTGAAGGAACATCACCAACTCACACACCTAGGAAAAACTGCACTAGAGGCCCTCCTCCAAAAGAACAACTCTGTCAGCCAGCTGCCAGCATTATGCCGAGCTGTCAGTGAACAAGGTGGAACGTGTGCCAAAAACAATGCTTCGTCTGTCCCCATGGCCCCTGCCTGGCACGTGATGGATAGGGGCCACCCCTTTCAAAGACTTAGAGGTGGACTTTACTGACATACAACCAAATAAAGGTTTCAGGTACCTTCTTGTAATAATCTGCACATATTTGGGATGGGTCGAAGCATTCCAGACCAGAATGGAAGGAAGTCACAAGGTGGCCAAAGCTCTTCTACAGGAGATTGTGCCTTGGTTTGGTCTACCCTTAACCATACACAGTGATAATGGGCCTGCATTTGTGGCAGACATTATACAAACCCTAACAAAATCCCTCAATGTTACCTGGAAACTGTGCACTGCTTACCAACCCCAGAGCTCAGGGAAAGTAGAGCGGATGAATAGCACCCTCAAGGAAACCCTGGCTAAGTTCCACCAAGAGATTAGTCTCCCATGGCCAGATTTACTACCGCTGGCCCTCCTGTGTGCCAGGTTTTCCCGCCAGCGTTCTAGTCTGGTTCCATACAGATTCACTAGGGCATGAGAGACTCAAGGACTTGAGACTTGGCCACTGTGGTGTCCCCCCCACCCCTCCTGCATGTGACTTTAGCCCCTGCTCCTTTTCATCCCTTCTCCTCTTTCCTGATAAAGTTTAGTCCATCCTGCACAGAAGAGCTGCTATCAAGTATGATGCCCTGCTCTCATTTCTGAAAATGGCCGCACTGGTGCTGACCCCTTCCTGCAACATCTACAGGAACTCTGACAAATCCCTTTCCCCTAAAGCCCTTAAAACATTCTGCCCACCTCACCCTTGTTAAAAGGCTCTTCTGGAGCTTTCCTGTGTTCAGCACTCTACAATAAAGTCTAGGTTAATTGTGCTGGGACTGATTTTGTTTCTCCTGGGGCTGCTAGTGTGTGCATGTCAAGAAGCCTTTGACTGCTGAGGCATCCATGTCAAAGGCAGCCAGCTCCTAGCAAACCAACCCCACAAGGTCACCCACACCCATAAAGCTCCCCTTTTAGCAAGTCCTGGGTAATCTAGATCACTGACTGCTTGAGTGACTCTGCTTCTCCCTTCCCTTATCCTACTTCTTGTTCTCATGTTTTAAGCCATCTGATAATCAGTGAACCCATGAAACCCTAATTATCTCATCCCAACAAATGCAGAGCCCCAGGCCCATGCATCCTCCCTCCCTCTCCACCTGAGACTATACTGTGTGGCTGTGTGGCCCTCGCACATGCCATGGACCTGCCAGGACCTGTGAGTAATAAATCTTGTTCTCCAAAGTTCCCTGATGATTTTGCTGAGGCTCTTCCTACAATATAACAAGAACCACAAGGGCTGATCCAGCTTCAACAATGGCTCCAGGAGGGGAACCCGCTGGGGAATCATCACAAGTAGTATAGGCCCAGCGGGCATTCCTGGCCTGTAGCATCACTGTGGAAAGGCTGAGATGCCTTCTTCCAGCTTAGGGTTGTCAGATTTCGCAGGTAAAATGGGACATACTTATGCTGAAAAGTGAGTCACTGTTTCTCTCAAATTCTGTGTTTTATCTGGCAGCCCTTCCCAGGTTTCCATGCATGCCTCATTTGGTCCTACTCCACGGGTGTCCTGTCTCTTTTCCTGGTGTGTCTTCTTCCTCTGATCTCTAACGCTGACACTCCAGACTCTCCTCACTTGTTTTCTGTCTACAGCCTGTGTGTGGACCTCCCCCAGTCCCATAGCCTGAAGTAACAATGATATGCTGCTACTACCTCCCAATCACATCTCCAGCTCGGCCCTCAGCCCAGGATCCAGACACGGAGAGCCAACTTCCCACTCAGTGGTCTGAAAGGCATCTCAGGCACCTCGGTCTAACACAGAGCTCCCAGTATCCTCATTCCACCTCTCAATCTCATCCTTCCCATGAAAGGCATCACAGCCACCCAGCCAGTCAACACAAGAGGTGCGGATATAAACAGAAAGGGCTTGGGGTACAGAAGGTATGGATGTAATCCTCTGGACTTTATATGTATGTCTATATTGTTCAGATTTCTTTCCAATGGATGTGCACTATTTAAAAAAAAGAAAAAAACACCTTTATTTTTTAGAGCAGTCTTAGGTTCACAGAGAAATTGAGAGGAATGTACACAGAGTTCCCATATACCCCTGCCCCCAACATCCCACACGAGACAGGAGCATGTTACAACTGATGAACCCACACTGGCACATCATGATCACCCCAAGTCCAGTTTACAGTAGGGGTCACTCCTGTGTTGTATAGTCGATGGGTTTGGGCAAATGTAGAATGACATGCATCCATCATTATATCACACACAGTAGTTACACTCCCCTAAAAATCCTCTGTGCTCCACCTATTCATCCCTCTCCTCTTTTGGTGCATGAATGATTTATCATCCATTCAACAAATGTTTTCTTCCTTTCTTTTATGCAAGGAGTTTTCTAGGCACCAAGAATGCAGTGGAAAGCAAGGCAGATAAAGTCCTGCTCTCAGGAAATTTTGTATTCTAGAGGCAGAGACAGAAATAAACAAGAGAACAAGTAAGTGAACAAGATAAATTAAATACTGTGATGGGGCGCCTGGGTGGCGCAGTCGGTTAAGCGTCCGACTTCAGCCAGGTCACGATCTCGCGGTCCGGGAGTTCGAGCCCCGCGTCGGGCTCTGGGCTGATGGCTCAGAGCCTGGAGCCTGTTTCCGATTCTGTGTCTCCCTCTCTCTCTGCCCCTCCCCCGTTCATGCTCTGTCTCTCTCTGTCCCAAAAATACATAAACTTTGAAAAAAAATTAAAAAAAAATACTGTGAATTGACAGGGACTATCCTGGGAAAGTGTAGGGTAGGGTGTGGATGGAGGATCAAAGACTCAAGAAGACAGGGTGACATTTTAATGAACCCTAAGTATAAAAAAATTTCCCCTGTGCAGGGGTGCCTGGCTGGCTCAGTCATAAAAGCATCCAGCTCTTGATCTCGGGGTTGCAAGTTTGAGCCCCACACTGGGTGTGGTGATTACTAAAAAATACATACATAAAACTTAAAAAAAAAAAAAGCCAACTGTGCAAAGATCTAGGAGAGGAACCCTGCAAGCAGACAACAGTGAGTACAGAGGCACTGAGGTAGGGCAAATTTGGTGCTTCCAAGGAAGGAAAGGTAAAGAGGCCAACAAGTCTGGGGTATGTAGATACAAGAGGATGGCAGGAAAGGAGGACAAGGCAGCCGGTCATGTAGGGTCTTACAGGCAGAGCAAGGAGTACATGCTTCTTCCTCAGAGTGACTGTTTATGTTTTCAAAAGACAACTCTGTTGCTTCCCCCACTAAGAAGGGATCAGGGCCCCTGAGTGACCCCAGATCACCCCCGTGAAGCCAAAGATACACCCCAGCAATCCACAGAACATTGAGAAATGATAAATCACTCTCTGTTTAAGTCCCTAGGTTTGGCAGTACTTTGTTATGCATCAAAAGATAACTGACAATGTTCCAGCTCTGTGATTTCATTTACAGTTTAGCTGCCCTCCTCTGGGGGTGAGAGATGGTGCTGAGCTGAGGACTGCCAATGTGGGAGAAAAATCTTAGCTGCCTGTGACACTATGTACTTCAAAGATAGTTGGGTACAGAGCATCAAACCGCTGGAAGTCCATGTGAACTCTACCTTAAAACAAGATGTATTTTCCGGCTCTGACACTTCTAAAAGTAGTCCAAAGCAACAACATGTCACCCTAGCCTGGGGGCCATGTATCTCTGCACTCAGATTTTCATGTCTAATACTCAAAACAGGACTCTTGGAGGACAATGAATCCCATAACTTGGGGTAGGAGAAAAGATGAGACGGCTCTGGAACCCTCTGGGGTTGCTAGAAAATAAGATGCTTTCAAAGGTGTCAGAGGAGGGACTAAAATGACAGAGGAACAAAATTGTAAACAGACTACCACTGTCAATCGGTGACAACTTCAGCATCTAATAATAATATAGTATAGTTACCACTTCACAAGTTGAGTCTGCAAAGGACCATGAGTTCATTGTGATATTAAAACAGAAAAGTTAAATTAATACAAAATGTATAAAGCCAATAATGAACAAAATAAATCAGCAGACAAAATCATTCACTAATTAAAGTCAGCAAAGGATGAGATACAGCCTACCAGAGAATCCTTCCTTTGTTGACTTTAGTCAGCTGCTTTTGACAACTTAATCACAACTGCTTCACTTCAGGAAGACTCACGCATGTAAGCAGGAAGGAGTGGAAAAGTCAAGACAGCGCTGGGAAAAGCAGGAACCAGAGGAAGGGCAGGAGAAATCACCCATCACCACAGTCACAGGATAACCAGGGAGCGGGAAGGCTCACCGGCTGAAGGGCACAGATCAGACAAGATAACCAATTAAAAAGAGGCCCAATGGGGAGGCTGGGTGGCTCAGTATGCTAAGTGTCTGACTTCAGCTCAAGTCATGGTCTCACAGCTATGAGTTCAAGCCCCAGGTCGGGCTGTGTGCTGAAGGCTCGGAGCCTGGAGCCTGCTTCACATTCTGTGTCTCCCTCCCTCTTTGCCCCTCCCCTGCTCGTGCTCCATCTGTCTCTCTCTCTCAAAAATAAACATTAAAAAAAGAGGCCCAAAAGCATTCACAAACACTAGACAATTAGAGAAGCATGAACCACAAAGCTTCGTTCTCTCCTCCCAAAATGAGTAAAACCCTCTGGATGACTCACTCATGGCGGTGGGATTCAGACAGAATACAAATGAGTTTCCAAATATGCCAAGAAACCAGGTAGGCACCAGGAGGCAAGTGCCAGCAGCCGAGCTAAACTGAAGGGTTCCCTGACTGCTAAGAAAGAGGCCTCCTCTCAAGGTGTAGGGCAGAGCTATGAGGACCACACAGAACAGTTCCAGAAGAAATTTGTGTGAGGGAAGCACACTGAAGAATGCCCTCTAAACTCATCAAATGTGCACCAGAGGCCCAGTGTGGTCAGCACCCAGCACGCATTCCCACCTACCCTGTGCCCCTTACAGTGTGGGGCCTCCGTGATCCCCCAGCAGGGACCTCACAACCCTGTGGATGGTAGTCAAGGGCACTCAGCTTCCTTGGGAACATGGGGGTGTGTCAGAAGGAGAATGTGTTCAGATGTCATTTGCATCGACAGAAATGAGTACAGATGAACACACCAGGTCCTGAAGGACAGGCCTGCTGGTGAAGGCGGCCTCTGTCGGGAGAGTGGGCTGTGGACGCAGGAAAACCCTGTCCTGTAGCCCCCAGGGGGAGACCTGGGGGGGGGTGGCACTGACTCCAGGGCAGAGGTTCCCACCCAGCCTTTCCCCCAGAGGACACAATATGGAGGCGGTGCCCCAGGACAGGCCCCCACAACAAAGAAGTACTAAGGTGTCAGACTCTGCCAAGGTGTCAGAGTGTGGAGTGAGAGCCCTGCACAGCCTGTGTGCTTGGAGCCCCTTCCTCGGGCGCAGGCCTTGAGAAGGGCTGGGCAGGGGGACCTGGGCCCACCTGGCTGCCAGTCACAGGAATCTGTAAGGTCATTGCTCTTGCAGATGCCTCCTGGGGAGTCTGTACCCATCAGACTGAGGAGGACACTGATGCGGAGCCTCCCCATGAGTCAGGGAGAAGCTGGCCTTGAATCTAGGGCCTTTGGGCACCCTGGGGCCAACACATCAGGTCTGAGACCTGGTCACCAGTACCTCATACAAACTAGTGCTCACCCCAAGGCAAGAGACAAGGCCAGTCCTAACTCTTCACTGCACAGCCAAAATGCTGGAACCGATCAGCTCCACTCAGCTGCCCACTACCTGCTGTGAGGCCAAACTACCTCTGGACTTTACAGGAGACCTGGTTCAGTGGGAGCACCCTGGAGCCTACCTTGAGGGTCTGAATCCCAGCTCTTCCTCTATCTAGATACTGGTCCTTGGAAAAGTGAAATTTCTGTGCCTTGTCTGTTAAATGGGGACAAGAGCACCAACTTCACAAGGCTGTGAAGATTAAATGTAATAATGCACTTGCATCACAGGACACATGGCTGGTTCTCCCACTTCAAATCCCTCAAAGCTCTAATGTTTCAGACCAGTGCCTCTTAAATTATAGCTGCATCAGAATCAGCTGGAATACCCACCTGGGTAGTTTCTGATACGTAGGTGGGGGGACATCAGGCCTAGTAAGCCAAGATACTGGCTATGCAGGAGAGAGAGCCTCAGAAATACCTGAAGACTTGCCCAACCCTCAGTCTGGATTCCCCTCCCCTCTGCCCCCCCCCCTCCCCCGGACACCAAACCCGCCTTGGGCCCTGGGTTTGTCTCCCTCCATCCCAGGTCCTGGATGACGGACCCTGGGCCCTTACCTGGATACCTCCCCAGGCGCCCCCTCTGCCCGAGGCCCCTCTGGGACCACTTTCTCTTTCCCCTTCCCGTTTTCCCTTACTTTCGCCTATTTGCAGGCCCCTGGCGTCCCACCGGACTCCCCCAGCTCTGGGTTCACGTCCTCTTCTGCGTTGCCCAGGCCCCGGACTTTCCAGGTGTGCCCCACCGCGTCCCGAGGTCCCCCTCCAAAGGCCCTGGGTTTACTCCCTCTACTGCTCATCCCCCATTCTGCGCCCCAACCCCAGCGCTTCCCCAGGGCCGGGCCTCCTCAGTGTGACATCTCCACACACCCAGACAGCCCCCTTTGGACTCCATCGCCGCTTTACCCCAGACTTCCCGCACCCCTGCCCAGGCCCGCTTGGGGCGCAGCGCCATGTTTACCCGATCCCCTCCCGGGCAGCAGCGTGCAGGAGGGGAGCAGAAGGCGCGCGGGCCAAGAGGAGGGCTCGATGAGGAAACAGGGAACGCCAGATCTTCAGGCCAACTTGCCTGGCGGTTTCAGGACCCGGCGAAAGCGTGACGGGGCGGGGACTGGGCGGGGCTACCTGGAGGCGGGGCCCTGTCGCCCAGGGCCCCAGGGGAGGTGGGGAGGGGGTGTCCCCAGCTCCAAGGTCTCGCTGCTCAACCCAGAGCGCGCCAGAAGTCAGGGCCACGCAGACTCTGCCCCCGGGACCCTGGAGCTTGGCCTTTGTGGTGGGGACACGTGGAGCCAGAAGTCTTTCTGGGCTGTAAACCCGATTGTTTCCTGAGCGTGCCAAGCTCCTCTCCTCCTTTGCTGCAGTTAATGCTCGAAACAGCCCTTAGGGGGAAGTCGTGTGCTGAGGCCTGGTTTACAAAGAAGGAAACCGAGTCTAGGGCTGTAAAACCACCCAGGAGGAAAGGGGGCTTGAGGATCCCGTCTGTAAAGGGTGTGTGAAGACTGGCCTTTCTTTTTTTTTTTTTTTTTTTTTTTTTAATTTTTATTTTTTCAACGTTTATTTATTTTTGGGACAGAGAGAGACAGAGCATGAACAGGGGAGGGGCAGAGAGAGAGGGAGACACAGAATCGGAAACAGGCTCCAGGCTCTGAGCCATCAGCCCAGAGCCCGACGCGGGGCTCGAACTCACGGACCGCGAGATCGTGACCTGGCTGAAGTCGGACGCTTAACCGACTGCGCCACCCAGGCGCCCCAAGACTGGCCATTCTTAAGGAACAGCTGCTTCGCCTGCAGCCAGAGCTCCATCAGCTCTCCAGGACAGCGTTTTGTTCTTGTGTTTTAACTTCTTTATTATGAGAAATGTTCACTCACGCCAAAAGTAGAATAATAAAATGGTCCCACAAACCAATAGGCCAGCTTCCATTATGGTCTGCATCTTGCCCCTTTTTTCCCCCATCTATATCCCTCCCCCTACACACACACTTTTTTTTTTCCTGGAGTAGTTTTAAAGCATTCTGGCAGACATATTTCACCTTTAAATTCTTGAGCATGTTTCTCCAATCATTAAGGTTTTTTTTTTTTTTTCAAACATCCTCAATAATACCAGTATCACACCCAACAAAGTTAGCAATACCCAGTCCAGTTCTATTTTTCCTAATTGACTCAAAACAGTCTTAACTGTTGGCCTCTTCTGACCAACATCTAAAGAGGGATGAAAGATTTTGGGGGGACACAGCCTCAGGCAAAGTTCATCCTCATGGTTTTTGCAAGAAACCTGTTCATGACCACAGAGCCGGAACATCAGTGGAACCAGACGAAAGTCCAAAAGGAATGGAAACACAAGGGCATGTGAATGCTAGATATTTAACAAGATTTAGTCCTATGTTATATTATTTCAGCAAAAGACAAATCTGCATGTTAAACACAAAGATATATATATATATATATTCTACAGGTTTATAGACACCCTGATTTTCAGCAGGTGTCCTGTCCTATATCTGGGTTGGGTACTGCCTGCACACCTCCTTACCCACCTAGGCTTCCGGGGGCCAGCCATCCTCTGGCACCTCCTGCCCTCCCCAAGGAAAGAGGATTCATGTCTACTGGTAGCCAGTAATCCTGCCCTAAACTTTCCAGACAATGCTCCAGCTCCCAGTCCTGGGAATTCTGAATGGCTCCAAGCCCACTGCTAGGATATATACTCAGATCAGTGCCCCAGAGAATGAACCAGTTGTGGGGCATGACCTGTGTCTTTATACAAGAATCCAAGAATTCTACATTTGAACCTGACCTCCCAAGTTGCTATGGAAGTACATTTGTCAAGGCCAGAAAACAGAATAGACTCTATTTTACAGCTATGTTTTCCTTGCATATGTAGTTAAACATATGGTTTGTGGGGCCCCCATTTGTGTTTTTTTTAACTTTTTTTTTTTTACTTTTATTTTTGAGAGACAGAGCATGAGCAGGAGAGGGGCAGAGAGAGAGGGAGACACAGAATGTAAAGCAGGCTCCAGGCTCTGAGCTGTCAGCACGGAGCCCGATGTGGGGCTTGAACCCAGGAACCTGAGCCGAAGCCAGATGCTTAACTGATCCACCCAGGTGCCCCTGTGGGCCCCTGTTTGTAATCTTGCCCTGTAAATTTTAAGGTGGGCTTATCTTGTGTCAATATACTTATGAGTATAAGAAACATTTTATTTTCTACTTACCTCTAATGCAAGAAAAATAAACCATCAAAAGCATGAGGATAAATGGCAACTAACAGTTGACTTCAGTAGTAAAGAAACCACAGGGAGAATGTAGCACTCTTGCAAAGGGGGCAGCCCCAGCCAAGTTCCAAAGGACAATTGCAATACCCGGACACAGGACCCATTCTTCAGGGCCTTGGTAAGTGGCCGGCAGTGTGCACCAAATCCTGCAAACTAGCTCATGCCCCATTCTTTCCCCCTCACTAACAGGCATCTAGAAGTGCCCAGAATGCTGCCTTAGGAGTCCACAGGCCTGGCTGAACTTTTGGCAGTGAGTAGCTTTACAAAGAGATACTACACCAAAACTGTAGTCCTGGGATGGAAATTTAAGATATATAGACACAAAAGACATTTGTAAATGATAAAATGTTGGCAGATATTATGGACCGAGTTGTGTTGTTCCCTACCCTGAATTTGTATATTAAAGTCCTAACTCGCAATGTGACCGTACTTGAGGATAATACCTATAAGGATGTTATAAAGGTTAAATGAGGGGCACCTGGGTGGCTCAGTCGTTTGAGCTTCCAACTTTGGCTCAGGTCATGATCTCACAATCGTGAGTTCGAGCCTCTCATCAGGCTCTGTGCTGACAAGGCAGAGACTGCTTGGGATTCTCTGTCTCCCCCTCTCTCTGCCCCTCCCCTGCTCATTCCCCCTCCCCTCTCTCAAAAGTAAATAAACATTTTTTGAAAAGTTTAAGGGGCTCTTGGGTGGCTAAGTCGGTTAAGCGGCTGACTTCAGCTCAGGTCATGATCTCATGATTCCTGACTTCGAGCCCCACATCAGGCTCTGTGCTGACAGCTTGGAGCCTGGAGCCTGCTTTGGATTCTGTGTCTAACTCTGTCTCTGCCCCTGCCTTGCTCTCTCTCTCTCTCTCAAAAATAAATAAACATTTTTTAAGTTTAAAAAAAATTTCACAAGCTGAGCTTAGGAAAGATGTGAACCTCAGTTTTCTCATCTGTAAAGTGGAGTTAATGTTAGTACCTACCTCAAAAGGTTGAGGATGACAGGAAGCAATCCATGTAAAGTCCTCACATCTAGTGCCTCACATGTAGCAAGGGTTCAATTCATGTTTCCTGCTACTATGTTTACTGTTACTATTAATGTTCTAACAGGACAAATCACAAGCAGGGGTGGTTCTAGGCACATGGATGGACCGTTGTAGCAGGCTTGGGGCACAAGGAGGGCCTTACCCTGCCCACAGCTTTCTCATGCCTGTTCCAGTTTCCTGCTGTTGCTCTGCCACAGCAGAGCATCCTTCGTTCCCAACCAGTCCTTGTCTTCCCCAAATAGCCTTCAGCCTGGAGGCAGCAGCCCCAGTTCAAATCCTTCCTAGCCCCCTGCTCCACCGCTGCACTGTCCCCCACAGTCTCAGAGGCCCAGATGATGGGCTGGCCAAGCCCTGACTGCCCCACTGCCCAGACTGGAGGGCCATCGCCCGGCCTCACAGACTGACCCCACAAAGACATACTATAGGTACTACAAATCACTTTGGAGTTTAGGAACCTCACCTTCTTTCCACAATCCCACCAACACCTGTGCTGCCACTCAGCCATCCTTTCAGAGACCACACCTTGCAGCAAGGTCAGCCTCCTACCTGGTCCTGCCCTGCAGTGGTTGCCCTCTGCAATGACTCCCTTAGCCTCTGCTCAGGCTTGTCCTCCCCTGGGAAGTGTCAAGCACATGCCCCTCAGCCTCTTTCCTTGGAATCCCCCAACACCTCTTAACTATGTCATTGTGCTATATTAGGTGGGATATTTTTGCCTCTCAGACTGTGGATTCCCCAAGGGAAGAGACTCTGTCTGTTCATCTCTGAACATCTCTACTAGTACATAGCAGACACTTGCTTTAGGTTGCCCCCACTCCCAGCCCCCAGAAGTGACCTTGAGATGAGGATTCAAGTGCAAGGAGTTTATCTGGGAGATGATCCCAGAAAACGTTGGTGGGAGAGGGAGGAGGTGAAGCAGGGAAAGGAGGGCAGCCAATGAAGTTTCGTTACCAAGCAAGTTACCTCCGTGGGCATCTGGAGCTCAGTCCTGCCTGGAATTCTGGGAGCCTCGGAGATATTGCCCCTGAAGGGTGTACAAATCCTAACTCCCACCTATCCTTACATGAGGACTACTTCCAGGGGACAATAGTGCCCTGGTCCTTCAGGCCTGATGGACTGTCAGGCAAGGTGGGCCAAGTGGCTCCCACGGCAGAGAAGGCTTTCCTGGGAATTGCTGCGGGCCCACATTAAGAAGTCAGGCATGGGGCGCCTGGGTGGCGCAGTCGGTTAAGCGTCCGACTTCAGCCAGGTCACGATCTCGTGGTCCGTGAGTTCGAGCCCCGCATCAGGCTCTGGGCTGATGGCTCAGAGCCTGGAGCCTGTTTCCGATTCTGTGTCTCCCTCTCTCTCTGCCCCTCCCCCGTTCATGCTCTGTCTCTCTTTGTCCCAAAAATAAATAAAAAACGTTGAAAAAAAATTAAAAAAAAAAAAAAAAAAAAAAGAAGTCAGGCAGGTGTGCCCGGGGCTGGAGGTGGAACCTGAGTGGGGCAGTGGCGGGGACATCTGCAGCACTGGAAAGACATTTGCTGATTGCAGAATAAAACGTTGCAATGATAGAGGGCAAAGGGTGCCTGCCAGCCACTTACTCCAGGTGCAGATTGCCATCTGCAAATCAGTGCTGACCTCTGGATCAAGCCTGTGAGGGGAATATCTCCTACCTTTTATATGGATGAGGGAACTGAGGTCCTAAAGAGTTCCTCCACTTGCTGGAGGTCACAGCCCTGAGAGGCATAGCCAGAATTCAAACTCCATTCCAATCAAATCTAAAGATGACATTTTCCATTCCATCAACCAAGTTGCCTCTATCACACAAGGGAACAAGAGAATGAAGGCATGAACGGATGAGTGCTTTATAAATAGGGGGAGGCTCCGATTCATCTAGTGTTCTGGCTCAAAGATGACTACTGACTGAATTAGCTGCTCTTTGGTATTAAGTTTATAATCAAATTTACACAGGAAACTATAAAATTCCAAGTAAGAAATCTGTTGTCTGGTGAGGAAGATATCTTAAAATCAGGGCCTGCCCCTCACCACCCCTGCTTGGCATGCTGAATAATCCAGGGCTGGTTTAGTTGCCCTCCACCCCAGCCTGCCCACCCACACCCAAAGGCCATTCCTGGGCTTCATGCACACATGGAGAAGTGAGCTATTGTTATTGTTGGTCCTGCCAAATCCATGACCCCATGACTCAGTGACAGCAGGGTGAAGC